TGTACTTTCCGGCGCGTCCTATTCGAGGATAAATACAGGATATCTCAGTCCCTATTATCTTTTTACGCACCACAAATGTTTTATTGTTTTTTGTTTTTTAAGAAATTTATATCCGCAAAGTTTATAAATTTTGATTACTTTAGCGGAGTTTTTACTAGATATTAGATTCGTAACAGATTGCTCAATGTATTTTGAAAAAAGATCTCGCGATTTACTTCAAAAATAATTGTTTTTTTGATTTAAAAAATGTTTGTATATTTTTTGTCTATTTAAAAAACGTAAGGTGTTAGAATATTGAAAGAGAGAGAGAAATAATATTGTTCTCTTTAAGTGAATATATACAATATACAAAGATGAAAGGATGCGATACGATATCGAAACGACCGGCGACATGCGGACGGAACGTGGCAACTCCGAAAATACGTGTATACAAGACCGTGCTTTATATTCCGCATAAAGACCCGTGTGGTGGTACAGGTCGTCGGGCGCGAAAGCACGTATCGCAACCGAGGGTTCTAACAAATAGTTCCGGTTATCGGTGCTTTCGCGCGACTTAGGCGCGCTCTCCCTTTCTGTCTCTCGCACGCTTCGTCGCATGGTTGCACCGTTAATAAACCTGCCTAGGAGAAGAAGGAGGAGTAAGAGAGAGAGAGAGAGAGAGAGAGAGTGCGTTCGAAGGCCAAGTTTAGATGTGGCCAGATTCGTCGGGGAAGATAGATACCAGAAGGAGCTTGCTGCACGCGTAAACTATGCCAAGTTAACTTCCCAAGATATATACGCGGTTCTCCCAAGCGGTCTGTTCATGCCCGGAATTGTGTTCCATATTTCGGAATGGAAGCACTTGAGAATGCGATCTCTCCGGCAAGTCTATATACCATCATGAAGTTGTTATTCGAGGAGATTCATTTGTGAGAAGCACGTTTCGAACATCGAAGTAAAGTTGGATGAATTTTCTTTTCACAGATATATATTGAGGTTAAGACTTAAGAATATCTTGTAAGCGCTGCTGTCTCGCCTTTTAAAACCGTTTTCTTTACAATGCTTTTTTTTTTGGCGTTTGTAATTCTGTCTATAATTACATTTGCGTCTTTAATAAGATTATTATTATTATTTATTATTGTTACATACCTCGAAAAAGTATTCATTACTTAATTAATTTTTTTCCTATTAATTAAAGCACTTACTGCGCTGAATCAAAATAAAAACTTAAGGATCTTGTTTTAAGTTTAAATACGTATTTAATTTATACTTCAGATATACGTATAAGATAAAAATATGTCAACAATATATCAACACGTTTAAAGAAACGAATATTAACATCGAATAACTTAACTTTTATTTTGCTTAAGTCAGTGTTAGGTAATCCTATCTTTTACGTGCTTCATTCTTGTTGCGTCCATGATGTTTTTTTTTTTTTTTTTTTAATTGTGATATATTAGCGTCGCGTCGCCGGCAGAAATTTAATAACTCCTTAAATCAGAGAAAATTTGCATAATTGAGAAGATTTCGTCGGAATTTATTACTCTCGCCGATGTTAATTAATTGCGGACTTACAACATATATGCTATGGATCCTAGGTTTCCTGCCGAGAGTTTATTTCTACGAACGACGGCGCGACGTAAACTCTTTCTTGGACGATGATGCAAAATCTCATCGCGAGACAGCGAGCGAAAAATCCCGGCAGGTCGTCGTGGTTGTTGTTCGCTTCTTGTTTTTCTTAGCGCCGCGGGGAGGAAGAGGCGAACGGAGGCGGGGACAGGTGAATTCGTGATTAATGCTCGTGAACGCGCGATTTGATATAAAATCTGACACAGCAACGAACCTGGGCCTTCGCAGTTTTACCAACCAACGAGGGGAGAATATAACGTATACCTTATCCATACCTCGTCATAAATCTCGCCGTGCATTTTGATTTACGTACCTTTAGCAGCCTTCGCAAAGAAACGCGCGATATCTCGCCGAGCTGCTGCTGCCGCCGCCGCCGCCGCCGTCGCCGTCGCCGCCGTTGTTCGGCTTTTACGCCAGGCTGCTTGTCCCTTTTACGAGCGCGCGGTTCCAGCTCCCGACTCTCCATCGCGCTCCGGAGAAAATTGAAACTCTTTCTCTCTTTTTCTCTTTCTCTCTCTCTCGAAGAAAAAAGACGGATTGACGACGGACAAATCGCTCGGCGTGTGTTGCATTTCAGCGCGAGGAACGCGCGCCTTTCGCGCGTATCCAAGCGTTTTCTTTCCCCGACTCGCCGAGGCGAAAGACCAACGCTCGTTCTCTCTCTCTTTCTCTTTCTCTCTCCCTCTCTCTCCCGCGATGTTGTACAATCGATCGAGCGTTTCGCGAACGCAAATAAACGGCACGTAGTAAGAACTACGCGGGGGATATTAATATGTATAAACTTTTAATTAGCTGTCACGTCGCGCCGACGACGGCGAACGGATTACGCTATATTCGCAAAAGCTAGTTATGAGCGAGGATAGACGTGGGTGCGAGCAAAAAGAGCACGGGATTTCCATAAAAGAGGAGTGTGCATCGTAACCCAAACAACGTCGGGCCAGCAGCCCGCATATTCCAGGCGGCAAGGGCGAGGCTTTAAAAGTGATTCATTGCCGGAGTTCCTCCTCTGTGGCCACCCTTTCTATCTTTCTTTCTCTCTTCAACATTACCTCCGCTTTACGCAATACATTAATGGATATTCGTTTCGTCGAATAAAGTTTTATGTACGATAGTTCTTCGAATTTCCTACTGATGTATCAACAGCTCGCACGATCTTCGTTATATCACGAATGTATCATATATCACATATCCTCTCCGATCACATAATTCTTTTCGAAAACATGAGAAACAAAGATATAAAACAACACGAAATTTCCATAGGTGTGTACACATTTACATTTACCGAAATAATCGGTTAACTATTTTCGATGCGGCGAGATATATAACCGAATCAAGATCCGCGTGTGCGATAATCGCGATTATACGAAGATTGAGAGACAGAAATACCCGCTGACGATTACACGATCGATGCGCAGATTTATCACGGGCGCAATCGGTTGCGCTATACGCTTCGTAATAACGCGTTTTCTATACCTATCGCCGAGCCGAGAGCGAAGTTGTATCGGAACGGAGTTGTATCGGAGATCGCAATATATGTGTCTGTTGACGGGTTAACGATACCGCGGAGCAAACTCTCTTGCTCACTCTCTCTCTCTCTCTGTAACGAAGCGAAAATCAAAAGCGCGCGCGTACGTCTCTATTGAGAAGCATCGAAGCCTCGCTCTTCCACGCAGCTGCGGCGGATGCATCTGGCCGATGCATTTCGTACGCCAATCGGTCGTATCGGGGATTGCGAGCCACACACGACGTGGCGATACGTACTCTCTCTTTTTTTCTCTCTCTCTCTCTCTCTCTTCCTCTTCTCTTATATTCCAACGACGGGTATGTGCACCTCGACTCCGCCACAACCGTCTTATAAATAGCGACTCAGGGCGCTAGCAGTTAACAAACGGTAAAACTAACACCGCCTCCTACAATAACATTTCGCCTCGGTCACGTGTTTCCGCGACTTGACTATTATAAGATCCATGACTGCTTCGATCCCTTTCTCCATCTCCTTTCCTTCCTTCTTCTATACTCTCGCTCTTCCTCTTTTCCCGCCTCGTTCGCCAGTTCCTCTTTAGCCTTTGGTCTCTCTCTCTCTCTCTCACTCTCTTTCTCTTTCTCTCCCCCTCTTTTTACGCACCCTTTCCTCCGAGATGACCTCTGATATCTCGGTAGAGAGTCGCGTTCGTCGAATAAATTTTTGTCCGGTTTATATTTTAATAAGATATTTTTTGTATTTATATTTTAATAAGATATTTTTTTATATTTTACCTAATACTATATAAAATAAAATAATATGAAAAGTAAATTAATAGATCGGATAAGATAATATATTGGATAAGTATTATATTATTTATTTTTAGATATATATATATTATATAGGATAAGAGAGAAATAAAACTTTAATCCGAAGTTTTATTTGCGAGCAAGAACATTCTTTCTTGAATTCAATTATTCTTTTAATCTCTTTCGCGCGTTTGTTATTTATTTATTTATTTATTTATTCTGATCCATAATTCTCTCTATTATAGATTTACACTTGAATAATATGATTTGTAATGCACAAATAAGATTGTTTATTCAAATGAAGGGATCCCTCAATCATTTGTGAATTTAACCGGGCTCTCTCGAGCCGCACGGCTCCGCGATCGCATATCGGCGGTTCCGCAAGAGCGGCGTACCGGTTTCGGCCTCGAGTATCTAGCAAACGATCGAAACACCGACGTTGATTTATGTACGAGACATTCGAACGCGAATGCTACGCCCTTGCTCGTTAAGGTCGAGCGAGCGAGCGAGCAGCCAGACGCATCCCACCAACCGGCTATTTAGGCATCGATCGCCAGCTCGTATACTTTAACGAAAGAGCGAATACACGCTCCGCGACTCTCGGGCCGGGGTTACCGGAACAACTCCGTGCTCTTCGTATACGCTTTGATAGTCTGAATTGCAAACGAAGAGCGAGACTCGTACGATTTCGGCCCGGTACACACTTCTCGTTCGGGATTAAACTCGAATCTGCTCGGCACTCCCCGAGTCTCTCGTAAATGCAATGAATATTCTCTATCTTTAGTAAATATTAACCCCGCAGCGCGCAAACGGATTACACGCTATTTGTGGAAACGGTTTATTAGCGAGAATTGACGTTGGGCTCTTTTGATGTCGACGACGGATATATAAATAGTTTAACGTTTATCAGATCCGAACATAAGAAATTTAATTTCCTTATTTGCATCAATTTACTCAGTCTAGTTGCAGATACGACTGCGAGAAATTAAAGATAGATCAGGAAACACACAATATAACTCTTGACATATTGCGCCACGCCTCTGCACCACATGCATTGCTATGTAATGTGTTCTATCACGAAAACATTGAGCGATAAAAGTCTCCTTTGCTTTCTGTTGCAGGTGGCAGATATGCGAGCTATGCAGCCATGAACCGAACGTTCTTGGACACGAGACCCGCGCGACGGACGAAATTGTTCCCCGCACGAACAATGACGGGCCTGTTGGCGTTGTTGGTGCTCGCAGCGTCTCTGTCAAATGTAAATTCGGAATCTGCGATAAGCCCGGTAGGTAGTATCATCGGATCAGGATCGGCCGTTTCTTCGTCCTCGTCCTCGTCTGGAAGTTCTTCGTCGTCGTCATCGTCGTCGTCGTCATCATCGATAATCGGAGTGGTGTCCGACAGCGAATCGAGTTCCGGCAGCAATGGGGTGGGTATCGGAAACAACAACGGCATGATTGGTAGCAGCGGTATCGGCGGCGGTGGGCATTCCGGTCATGGAAGCGGAAACAATGGGAACGATCGTTGCGAGGAAATCACAATTCCGATGTGTCGTGGCATCGGCTACAATAAAACCGCTATGCCGAACGAGTTGAATCACGACACGCAGGAGGAAGCCGGACTGGAGGTTCATCAGTTCTGGCCGCTAGTGGAAATTAAATGCTCGCCGGACCTCAAGTTCTTCTTGTGCTCGATGTACACTCCGATCTGTCTGCCCGAGTACACGAAACCGTTGCCGGCATGTCGCAGTGTGTGCGAGCGCGCGCGAACGGGTTGCGCACCGTTGATGCAGCAATATGGTTTCTCGTGGCCGGAGCGAATGGCGTGCGAGCGACTGCCGAATCATGGCGAAGATCCAGAAAATTTGTGCATGGAGCAAGATAACCGCACCAGCACTAGCACAAGTCCTGGTAGCGGTGGGGCGAGCAGCGGCGTTCCAGGACCACCGGGTCCCCCGGCGCGGCCTACGAGACCCAGCAAGGCCACGCAGCCGAATCGCTGCAAGCCGGGCAAGAACCAAAAAAACTGCCAGCACCCCCTGGGGGAGAGGACGAGGGATTGCGCGTGCAGATGCAAGTCGCCCCTCGTGCCCCTGGGGGCGGGGGGCGCGGTTTTAACAGGACCGATAGGAAGCGTAAGCGGCAGCATCATCGGGAGCAGCACCGTCAACACGGGGCCTGGTCTGGGCGGCATGGCCGTAAGCGGGGTAATGCCAGCGCCGGCGCCGCCAATGGGCATCGGCAGAAACATCATCCAGGAGATCGCAGGGGTGCCGGACTGTGCCCTGCCGTGCCGCGGCGCGTTTCTCACCAAGGAGGAGCGCGGATTCGCGGACGTCTGGCTGGCAGTGTGGAGCAGCCTGTGCGCCATCAGCACACTCGTGACCGTCACCACGTTTCTCATCGACACACAACGGTTCAAGTATCCTGAGCGGCCGATCGTCTTCCTGTCGGCCTGCTATTTCGTCGTGTCGATTGGCTACTTGTCGAGCAGAATATTCGGCCACGAGGAGATCGCTTGTGATGGTCCAGCTTTGAAATCCGGCGCTCAAGGTCCGGGTTTGTGCGTCACCGTTTTTCTCATGATCTACTTCTTCGGTATGGCATCCTCGGTGTGGTGGGTGATATTAGCATTTACCTGGTTTCTCGCAGCGGGCTTAAAGTGGGGAAATGAGGCAATAGCGTCATACTCGCAATATTTCCATTTATTCGCTTGGCTGGCACCGACGGTACAAACGGTTTGGGCATACGTCGTGGGTGGCGTCGCCGGTGATCCCGTAGCAGGAGTCTGCACAGTCGCTCCTGAAGGTGTACGCAACTTCATTCTGGTACCGCTATTCGTCTATCTCGCGCTGGGCACAAGTTTCTCTATTTCCGGTTTTGTGAGTCTGTTTCGAATTCGATCGGTGATCAAGCGACAACCTGGTGCCAAAGCGGACAAATTAGAGAAGCTGATGATAAGAATCGGCGTATTCAGCTTTCTCTACACGTTACCAGCCGGCGTAGTGTTGGGCTGCCACATATACGAATCGTCTTTGCGAGACGAATGGATCAACTCGCTGGCGTGTCCCTGTCGGCAGCGAGCAAGGCCGGTCTACTACGTTCTGATGCTCAAGTACTTCATGGCACTCGCGGTAGGCATTACTTCGGGCGTTTGGATCTGGAGCGGTAAGACAGTGGAATCCTGGAAGCGATTGTGGAATCGCTTGTTTGGCAACAGTCACGGCAGTCATATGGGCGCCGGTGCCGGCATGGTGGCGGGTGTGACCGGTGTCGGTAGCGGTATCGGTGGAGTTGGCATGAAAGGCGTTATGGGACGGGGCGTTGCGGTACCTTATCCATCCGCGCCGGGACCGGGCAGCGCTCTGTTGCCACCCGGAAGCGTCGCCAGTGCGTCTCAACATCATCTTCATCATCATGTACTCAAGCAACCACCGCTCTCGCACGTATGACGTCACCAGTCGGCGGGGGGCGATATGAACACCGCCGGTTGCGATCAACAGCAGCCGCAACAAGAGAGACCTTCCGCCCTCAGCAACTACGGGCCCATCTAGCCCTTCGCCTCGGCCTCGCGCAGGCACAACGCGACGCCGCACACGGCGCCGCATACGGCGCCACACACGCCCCACTCGACGGCGACTATTTACTCGAGGAGGTCGCTCGCGTCCACGACGGGGCCGCTGACGCCGGCGCATGGAATCGCGCCTTCTTACACGCAGGCTACCGAGGTGTAAAGGGAATTACGTGAAGATTGGAATGATTCGGCGGCCTGAATGGACAACGAGCGGCCGCGGTGCTTCTTACCAGATATACGTATTAGCCTGTACGTGTCTTGTCCCGCGGGAATCTCGAGGGATCCTCTTTTTTCCCATCTCGGATCACATCAGCTTCTTCGGTATCTTCGTTCTGATTGATCGGAGAAAGTACAATTTGCAAAAAAAAAATCCTGATGAATGATCAATAGAATAAAGCGAAGTGTCTTGATATCACCAGAAGGGAGGGTGGCTCGAGTGTCGCGAGATATAGTGAGATTGTGATTTAGGAGAAAGATTTTTTCGTGACTGTGTGTGTGCGCACGCAGACATGTGCGCACGAGAGCAGCGAACGGTGTCGATAGATTTCTCTGTCTTTTATCCGTATCTATTTCTCTCTAATCTTTCTTACATTTTCGTAAAGCGGTTACAGCCCGCTACCGTGTCCGTCTAATGTGTATTGTCTCGTCTATTTATCTAACCTAGCCGTAAAACAGCCAGATCGGGAGTGTACGTACGGTGTGTGGTACGCGGAGAGCGGCAGTCTGCTATTCTTCTTCCTGTTTCCCTCGAAAGAGAGTAAATCGATGTCTCGATGTCGCGCGCGCGACATAAAGTTTCTCTCTGAAGCCCTCGTTACCGATTCCTCGCTACTGCCACTTTTCGCAATCGAGAAAAATCGCGTAACTTTGAAAGTAACCGCAACGAAAGCAGACTGCCGCTATCGGCGGGAAACACGCGACGAAGCGAATGTACAGAACAGAAAGCTAAAGTAAAGGAAAGTAAGCAAGATAGAATATTGTAAATATTGTTCTTATTAGATGTTATAGTGAATGCTGTAAATAAAATTGGTCATACACCAGAGACATGGTGTGGTAGAATGTTGCAAAAACGCGAAGATGATCGCGCTCATGGATGCTATGTTTTCTTTTTGCAAACAATTTATCAACCAATCAATTGTCGTATTCGATGTTGCTGGAATAGTCGGATCACGTTATGCAATATCTATCTGAAATCTCCCGTCAACTTCCCTCGAGACAGATTTGCGTTTTATCTTTTTAAATAAGTTTGTTAAAATATTTATTATAATTATTACGTAGAATTTCTTTTTGATTTTGTTAAATGAAAAGTCAGTGAGCAAACGGGAACGAAGGAATGAGTTTAAATTAAGATCAAATCGATAAAAATCGAGAAGTGTGAACTATTTGTGAACTTGGCTAATGAAAAAATGAGGAAGTTTTTAATGAAATCTGACTTAGATGTTATTTTGTTGAATCTTTAGTTGATAAATTTGTAAACATTATCAGATTATAAAGTTTATATATTTTTTATTTTACGTGAGATTAACATATATATATATATAATATATATATATATTTTAAAAATAACAGATTTTCCTGATAAACATAAATATGTTTATTTTGTAAAAATTACAGATAAACATATGTATATTTTAAAAATTACAGTTTTTTTAAATATACACATATATACATAATATATACGTATATTTTAAAAATTACAGATTCCCTGATAAACGCGGCTCGAATTGACATTTTCAGTAAATTTCGATTCTGCTTTCGCAATATAAATGGTTACCGAGTTATTATTGCCACGAGCGGATGATCGTCGCGCGCGATTAGATCTGTCCACAGAATGCATAATAAATATATTAAGTACACATATATAGGTCTGCCTCGCGAAGATCACACAATATTATAATAATTTAGCGAACGTCGGTGTATCAAGGTCGGACTTTTTATACTGTAAAAATAAAAAACGTGTTATATTCTTGTCGCATGTACTACAAGTCACAATTATCGTAGGAAATTGATAATAAAAAAAAGAAAGAAAGAAAAAAAAGATCCAAGCGACATACTTCTTATTTTTACTTGATGTGATGATCGGGCTCCTTGTGATAGCACGTGACGCGAAGGGCGGCGAGCGACGCTGACAGAGCGGAAGACGTAAAAAGGGTGGCGGCTCGCCGTTCCTTCGCGAAGGAGCGCGCACAAAAATCCATATGCACCCCATGAAGCATAGATGGGTAGAGGAAAATTATGCACGCGCGCGTATGTAATTCTTATGTAAATCCCAAATGATCTAGTTAGAGGTAGTCCCATGCGAGATTGCGCGCGAGATATAACGGAAGTAACAGCCCTCTTTTTAGACATGTGACGGCGCCCAGTCACATAGCAATATCGTTAATCCAGAATACCATTTGTAATGGAAATCGTAGATTGAGCAGAGCGAAATCGTAGAGACAAGGCGGATGAACCACCACGGCATCTCGTAATAGAACTACGACCGGGGATGTATTATAATAAAATTTTACTGTATAGACGATCTCTCAGCGAATTTGTTGTATATTTGTACTTCCGGGATTTTTTCTCAAGTCCTGTAATAGGTACCACAGTTGCAAAATAAACTAGAAATTTGATTTCATCAGAACAAATTTAACTGAAAGAGAAACATATATATATTTACATATACTACGTGTGTATCTATACGTATATTAAAGCGTACATGAAAGAGATGTGACATGTGACGTGACAATCTTGGATCACTGCCTACTGTATTTCTTTACGAGATGTTGCGAGTGCCGAAACACAAGCAAAACGGACTGAAAAACAAAAACTGCCTCATCCAACTTAAATGCGTCGTGTCTTCGACGGAGACTTCTGCCAAAACGGTACATACGCACGTATAATGTAACAAAGTAGCGGGAGTGAAGATGTCTTAAAATTAAGCAGGACTCACATTAGCGAGCATAAATGTCGAGTCGCCGACAGTGAAACTTCGTCGTCGCGAGAAAATTTTTATGTGTTATTAAGTATTAATAAAAATACTTTTACGTATATTGCAGCGTGTGTCGCTTTTAAATGCGCGACACTGCTGCGGTAAAATATCGTCCTTTGATGAACAAGCTGCGCCATTCAAGCTGAAACACACAAATTGCTTGGTGTTCTGCTCGATGCTTGCTAATGTGAATCTCGCTTTAATGCCCACATATCACGTTAATAAATAACGGCGGGGAAGGGAAGGGAGAAAAAAAGCAATTGATGTGTCGCACTCGACTGCGAGAAAGAGAATGTGAGAAGAAGCGTAAAATGCCAGAATGCGAGTTTGCAGAGTGCAAGGTACCGAAAGTGCGACTCTCTTTCACGAATGTTTGAGAGAGAGAAAGAGAGAGAGAGAGAGAAAACTTCACGAGCGACGACGTGTTGAGGGGGCGGTGTAGAGAGAAACCAATAAGAGAGGAAGTTTATAAAAGTATTTGTAAGCCATTCTTTTGTCACACTAATTGTCAATAAAATGGAAAATACTGTGTGTATAACGAACATGTTTCGAGAATGCAGAACCGCTGCTCGTTCACCTCGCGACACGGCCCGAAGCGCGATTTATATCATCCGAGAACATCTCTCTTTTGCCTCCCTTCTCTTTGGTTTTTTTCACCCGCGCGTTTTTCTTCATGCATTTACGTTCTGGCTTGCGCGACAAACTTCACACGTGCGGTCGTAGGTCGGACCGCTTTGTACAATTTTTTACGTTGCCATAGTAACCGTAGATGTGTAATCGACCGCTGTTCCGGTTGGTCGCCAAAATATAAATATTAAAAAAATATATATATGTGTATATACATATGCACACGTCCGCGTATATATACATATATACGCGTATATCCAAAATGTATACGATTTTTTAATACACTTTATATTATTATTTAAAATTGTTTTCGTGCGTAAGAGTGTTACTTTTAATTCCTTCTTCGATGATCTCCCTCCTGCCTTCTTGCAACCGTATTTGTTTGTTTTTCTTATCCCAGTTTTCCTCGCGCGCTCCTTTCGACACGTCGGTGGGCGTGGCGTACCGACGTCTTGCGTTCCGACGTACAAATCTGCATAATCGAGTTGTGAAAATAACGACTTACGCTTGTTTGTAAACTCTTTACAAATTGCCCGTTTTTTTTTTTTTTTTTTTTACCTTCGTTTAATCTATCCGTTCGTTTTCCGCTTTTGTGTAATACTAGAAAATAAATTCTCGCTCAAATTAATTTACAAATTATTTTTTTCTGTTTGATGCAGAAGAGAAAATGCATCGAAGTTTCAAAGAATTTCAGAGAGATACTTTTTTTTTGTTAACAGAGCGCGTTAAACACGTCGATAAATCTCATATAATGCTGGAAATGAAGAGAATAGAGAGACATCCGAGATTCTTTTATTCAATTTACGAAGTTATTACTGTCGCAAAGTTTCGTATTCCTCGAGGAACCTCGGAGATAAGAAGACAACGACCGTGCGTCGGGCACACCGCCAGCCACGGACGAATCCACCCCCGTCCGGTACGTGAGTCATCGTGTAATGGGACTGAAGAGGAAGGAAGGCGAAGGACTTGGCAGAAGGGGTGCGGTTCGAATTTATGGTTCGCTCCAAGGATTATGCGTTTGCAGTCTGGCTACTTGGGCCAAGAGATAAGAATTTTTCTCTCTCGCTCGTGGTCGCTGTTGCGTTGAGTCTACCGGTCGAGTTACACATTTTGCTTCTAATTGGATCGTCACGATGTTTGTCGTCGAGACGCTAAAAGCGCCGCCGCAAAGGAAACAACGGATGTTGTCGCAGTTCTGAGTAAACGCCTCATTACGTCACGACGATATTAGTTTTCAATTAATATCGTGCGAAGCTTTGGCTCGACCTTCTCTCGTCGCTTATGTAAAAGTTATCGATATACTTCGAACAATTTTTCTGAATTGTATTGACGTCCAACGATAATTACACGGTTATATCTAAGGTTATATTAACCGAGCTCTTTCTCCCAGAGCATCATCACCGTTTC